ACACTCATCAAGACCTTTCATTTAAATACCCACATGCATTTTGATATATTATTCATATATACATATATATAGTATATATTAATATATGAAAAATTGATGTGGGTACTCAAATGAAAGGTCTTGATGAGTGTAATATCGGGATGAGCTTATATATTTAAAAATGTCAATATTTCACAAGATACAAGGTAATTTCTTAATTACGTTAAATTGCACTGTACTTTGTGAATATTGATATTTTTAAAGGTATAAGCTCATACCGACATTACACTCATCAAGACTTTTCATTTGAATACCCACATCATTTTTTCATATATTTATATATATTATACATATGTATATATGAAAAATATATCAAAAATGCATATAGGTACTCAAATGAAAGGTCTCGAAGAGTGTAACATCGAGATGAGCTTATATCTTTAAAAATGCCAATAGTTCTCAAGATAAAAGGTAATTTCTTAATTATGGTCCAATTGAACAAATAAAAAAATTGATGTTTTTTTTTATTTTTCTAGCGCGCTGGTCAGCATAAAATTTTGGTATTTATGGCAACGCAAGACATGGTAGATTATTACACAAATATTTTGTCTTCAACGCTAACTAAATTAGATGATAATGATAATGATGATGATGATGATGATGAAGATGAAGGGATGGATCCTCTAATAGACGTGGAATTTTTTAAATTACATGGGAGCATGACGCAAAAAGAAAGAACGGAAGTCTTTAAGACTTTTAGACTGTCTCGTACGGGCGTTCTTCTCAGTACGGTAAGTTAAAATGTATATATTTTTTGCTAATTTGTTGTTCTGTTTGCACAACACTGTTTGTCACGGTTAAAATCGGAGAATAAATAAAAAAACAAGTATATCAGTTGGTTAAATATATACGGTGTGTGATCATCGTGTGATATAAGTAATTGAATAAAATAATTGATATTTAATTCGGTGAGAAATAATATCTGAGAACGTAAATAAATATCGCGGATTATTTGCACAAGAGTATTTAATTTAATGGTTAATAAAAGTTGTTATACAAGTATGAAGTACACATATTAACGTACTTGTCATAATCACTTGTGCTCTTTGGCAGAGAACGCAGCCGACCGCTGGGTCTCATTCAACTGGCGCCGCGGCTTAAACCGATACGAACAGCGTAGCATCCATTGAATTAATTTAATCGGAGTTAAAAAAAAATAGCAATAAAATAAAATAATTTAAGGTGAATAAAAAAGTTGTTTGATAGTAAATAAAAAATAGAATTTAAAAAAATCCATATATTTTTTGAATAAAATATATTGATGTATAATCGTTTCGTGAAAGAATTTTAGTATCCACTGGACGTGCCCCCCTACTGCTGCGAGACTTTTCGGACCATCAAGTGGAGTCTTATATCCTCGCGACATTAAATCATTAGCTAGCCAAACATAGAGAGCGGTTGAAGGACGAGCTCGCTTTCAAACGTTCACCGTTGGAGTCCTCAGCGGGCATTATATATCTCGAGCGCGTTGTCTTATTGGTCACTCGGATCAAAACAAAAAATCCTTTTAGTTTATCTATAAGATTTTTTTTTTTACTTTTTAAAACAAAATCATATAACGGGAAATTATTTAGTTCTTCATAATTATAATGAATAATTAATAGTATCTAGCAACCTGCAGTTACTATTCGATGATTTAAATTTTCGAAGACAACTACTGACTTTTGATGCTAATTTTTTTTTTTTCTTAATTAGAAATATAAAAAATATTTATATTGAAAATTGAATTATCTATATTATTAAGAAAATAAGCAAAATTTGTATTCGAAAATGCTCTATCTCTAGATACATAATTCAGAAATGACCTTATATCTTGTGAACTATTGACATTTTTAAAAATATAAGCTCATCTCGATGTTACACTCATCGAGACCTTTCATTTGAGTACCCACATCAATTTTTCATATATTTATATATATGTATATATGAAAAATATATCAAGAATGCATGTGGGTACTCAAATGAAAGGTCTCGATAAGTGTAATATCGGAGTGAGTTTATTTCTTTAAAAATGTCAATAGTTAAGAAAGTACACCGCAATTTTACATAATTAAGAAATGACCTTGTATCTTCTGAAATATTGACATTTTTAAAGATGTAAGCTCATTCCGATGTTATTCACATCAAGACCTTTCATTTGAGTACCCACATCAATTTTTGTATATATTTATATATATTACATATATATCATATACATGTATACATAAAAAATATATCAAAAATGCATGTGGGTACTCAAATTAAAGCTCTTGATGAGAGTAGCATCGGGGTGAGCTTATATTTTTAAAATATATATTCTAATTGTATATGTATATATGAAAAAATATATCAAAATGCATGTGGGTACTCAAATGAAAGTTCTTGACGAGTGTAATACCGTAATGAGCTTATATCTTTAAAAACATCAATATTTAAGAAAGTACAGTGCAATTCAACAAAAATCATTATTTAATGAAGCAAAATTTTATTTATAATTTACAAGTCACGGCAGTGACATAGTGTTAGTAAATTAATTAATCCATTTTATTTTATTAATAATAAAAAAATAATTTTTTTAAATTCCAGGATGTAGCAGCCCGTGGTTTAGACTTACCGAAAGTAGACAGTGTAATTCAGTACACCGGACCTTTGTCAGCGCGCGATTATGTCCACCGAATTGGGCGTACGGCTCGTGCAGGAACCTCAGGCACGGCGATTATTTTCTTGACGCCGCCGGAAATAGAATTCATCCGCATGCTCGAGTCACGTAAGATACGAATAAAACAAGAGGACATGGATGAGATATTGGCGAAGCTGATGGGACCGCTGTCGCGACAGCACACGATCCAAGAAGCCGCCACAAGTCTGCAGAATAAATTTGAGAATTTTTTGCTGAATGACAGTAAGCTGTACAACGCGGCTTGCAAGGGTGAGAATCTAATAAAAATATTAACATAAATGTGTAATCAAGTGTTGGAAATAGTCTCAACACTGATTTCGTTTGATCGGAAACTAAATTTTAGTGACTCGGAGCTAGAGAAGGATATTAAAGGGCGCTGAGCCAATATTTATAGCACCCTCGCAGCATATAAAGTCACCCCATACGCTCTTCTCTGTATCTCATTCATACTCATTTGCTCTTTCTCTTTCACATTTTTTTTCGCTTCTTGCAGTTATATTTACATAGTATATGACCAGGGAGGGATGATCTTGTTTGTCAAGCCATAGTTACTCTATTAGGGTTGTTTCGGGGAGGAATTTATTTGCTGTAATAATAAATCTATTATAAGACCACTCGAATTCGTTCAGTATCACTGGGGTGTTATATATATATATATATATATATGTATTGTATGCGTTGATATGCATTTAAATAATTCCTCCCCAAAATAACGATGAAGACATCTTCAGAACGAGTTAGCTGTCTCGGGTCTTTGCTTACTGGCAAAATAAAATTTTCGGATCGTAAATCTCGGAGAAAAGGGCGAAATAGCTCGGATTTTTACACGAAGGTTAGCCACACTTTTTCAAAGCTGTTAACAGTTAGGATTTTGTTGACTGACGCTACACGGCAAACCACTTGACCATTTCTCTTCACACAAATGACTGATAGATTAATTGCCTGAAGCTATTCGTGGGAATAAAAATTGCCAGTCAATCTATGTACATGAAACGTATAATGTACACTCACACATATAATACCAAATTCACAATTTGTCATGCCTCTGGGAAAAATCTATAAAACTACATTTAGACTCAATTTATTATCCAATTGTGCCAGGGAAAAAATATTTAGCCAAGTCATCGATACGTCCTTGGATATACTGATCAACTAGTATATGAAAGTTGGTCTATTTCTATTTTATAGGACGTTCATGCTTCAGAATTATTATTAGACAAATAATCTAATCTTTAATGTCTTAAATTTTTAGTTTCAAATTTCGCAGTACACTGAGAGAAAAAATTAAAAAAAAAATGAGCAATGTAATAAGAAATTAATTTGTTGAAAATTTTATTTTTAGCTGAAAAAATCAAAAAATTTCTTGTTGAAAAAAAGTTTTCTAGATTTGAGAATAAACATTTTTGAATGAAAATTCGCAAGTTGTCCATCTAAAATTTTTTTTTTTTACAAATAAAAAAAAAACTTTTTTTCAATAAGAAAGTTACTGCGTAAAAAATTTAGTAAATATTTACAAGTGGAGCCATTTTAATTTTCAATTTTTTGAACGAAATTTCTATTTGATTTTATTAATATATATATATTTTTTTTTTAAAGATACACAAAAAAAGTTGATTATCACAATTTTAACAAATTTTCAAAAAAATAAAAAAAAAATGTTCCTAGATATAGCCAAAAATAGGTTTGACCCCACTTGTAAATAATTATTATTTTAGTTAAAAAATAAAATTGTTTAAAAATTTTTCAAAAAATTAATTTTTTATCACAACAATATCAATTTTTTCTCTCAGTATTTATTATTTAAAAATTTATAATTAACTTTTTACACATTCTTAATAATTAAAAAATTTCCAAAAAAAATCCAAGACCACAATTACTAAAAATGAAACTCAAACATTCTCTTCTACAAAATAAAAGCATTGAAATCGATTCCATCTGCTTTACAAGAGTCGTCTACACTATTACCATTACCAGGAATAGTTTGGGTTGAATTAATTCAATGTGATACTGATTGTGGTGGTTTTAGTATGAAGTAATAGCAATATAACCTAAAGGCGTAGAGTGGAAATCTCGCTAATTCGTAATATTATCACCCCAATAGAGCTGAACAGCCCTTAATAGCAAGTATTGCTCTATAGAACAAGCAACCCCGTGGGTTTGGATCCCTCGGCAGTCGCCACTAAGCCAAGGGACTCATCCACTCAACCCCCTTCCTAAGTCTGCTCGTATATATACATACTACATACCCACACCCTCTTCACTTAGTGTGAACTACACTAGTTTGATGGTAATTTTTTTATTCTATTTATTTTTATTTATCCATTGTTCAGTCATTAGTCATTATCATTACATTAGCCTTTCCGCTAACAGCTAGATTATTTCCTAATAATTGTAAGTTTTTTCTCTCCTCCATTCCCATTAATGATTAATGGAGTTAATAGCAACCTTTTCCCTTTCAGTGATGTTATAGAGTAAGTAGGTAGATCTGATTGGACTTAATAACAAGTTACTTACACTAGAGTGTGGTTTTAGCTAGCACGAACGGCTTTCGCACCAACCGGGGAATTTTTGTTCCTGTTGTTGTTATTGTTGTTGTTGTTGTTGTTGCTGCTACTGTGCTGCTCCTGTCTACATACTGAGTATTGGGGTATAAGGGTATAGTATAAAGTTGTGGGTGTGAGGACCGACACAATCCAACCACTGAATGTGGCTTCCGCCGAAACCACTTACGCTTTGTGGCGAAGAGAGTCTTAACAATACGATACAGGATACAAATACAATAAGACGCAGTTACATCACTTAGGAACAATGCTTACCCGCCGCTGCGAGGCTTCTCCACCCATCACTCTCTCTTTCTCTCTTAATCTTATATTAATCCTTCTCACTCTCGCCGCCCTCGTCGCCGCCTTCGCCGTTCTAGATTTATGTGTTAAATCGAGAAAAACATTTATTCCCTTTTATACTTAGTGACTTCTTCAGGATTAGTATATTATATATATAATATATAATATAATAAAATAAAAAATAATGTAAAAACTCCGAGGAAATATTGCAGCTCGTATTATAGCTATTTCTTCCCGTCACTTTTTTTCCTTCGCTTGCGCTTTTGGATATCCGATGGATGTGACGAGGAATAAAATTTATTTACTTATTTATTTTTTAAGTGGCTCTTTTTTATGATATTTATGTGGTGTAATATTGATACACTGTTCTAATACGTCGTAACCCACATTTAGAAAATTTTACAGCGGTAAATATGGTTAATTTTTAAGATTGATTAAATGGAATTTAATGGATGAAAATATTTATTTAAAAATAGGGTAAATATTAACAAGGCGGGTCAACTATTTTAATTTTAATTTTTTTTAACGAAATTTCTATTTTATTTTATTGATTTCGTTTTTTTAAAATACATTAAAAAATGAACAATTTAAAAAAAAAGTTGATTATTACAATTTTAACAACTCTAAATAATTAAGAAATGACCTTGTATCTTGCGAACTATTGATATTTTTAAAGATATAAGCTCATCCCGATGTTACACTCATCAAGACCTTTCATTTAAGTACCCACATGCATTTTTGATATATTTTTCATATATACATATATATAATATATATAAATATATGAAAAAATTGATGTGGGTAATCAAATGAGAGGTCTCGATGAGTGTAACATCGGAATGAGCTTGTATACCTTTAAAAATGTCAATAGTTAAGAAAGTACAGTGCAATTTAACATAACTAAAAAATGACCTTGTATCTTGTGAATTATTGACATTTTTAAAGATATAAGCTCATCCCGATGTTACACTCATCAAGACCTTTCATTTAAGTACCCACATGCATTTTTGATATATTTTTCATCTATACATATATATATAATATATATAAATATATGAAAAAATTGATGTGGGTACTCAAATGAAAGCTCTTGATGAATGTAGTATCGGGATAACTTTTTTTTTTCAATTGTTCGTTTTTTTATTTACTTTTCAAAAAAATATATATCAAAAACATCAAAAAAAGATAAAATAGAAATTTTATCCAAAAACATAAAAGCCAAAATTTTTTCTAACTTTTGAAGGCAAAAAGCTATCGAAATCTTTATTTTTTTATTTGACATTTTTTATCATAAATGCTCCGTATTAACAAGCAGAAAAAAAATCTAAAAATGTTAATTTGTTAATAATTACCAAAAATAGTGATTAAACTAATTGACTAAATTTTAAATATGGTTTGCATAATATTGTTATAATTTTATTTTTCAAAAAAAAATCAATCTATCAAATTTTGTGGGATACGACGTATTAGAAAGACAGTATCGATACAGATAAATTTTATTCACTATGAATGTTTGCTAATAATAATATTTTATTTTTCAGCTTATTCCTCCTGGGTACGCTTCTACACGAGTTATCCGCGGGAAATGCGCGAGATCTTTAATCGGCAAACTCTTCACTTGGGTCACTATGCCAAGAGCTTTGCTTTGAGAGATCCGCCCCAGCGAATTGGCTCTGTCAACAAACAGATCCGTGAAAAAAATCCTGAGAAACCGGTTCATAATAATCGTCTATCTAATAACAGGTAAGTTTATTTTTTAGTTAAAATAAATTAAATATCTTTATTTTTATAATTTAAGATTCTCTTTTTAATTCCTAAAATTACCAAATTAAATTTTATTTTTGTAATTTAAAATTTTAATTTATTTTTTGAAGATTTTTTATTTATATTAAAAGCTTTATAATTTTTTTTTAAATTCAATTAATTAAATTTTAACACTTTTCAAGTTTCTATTATTTTATAATTTTTATTTAAAATTTTTCATGAATAAATCGGGTGCTAAAAACCAAAAATTTATTACTACGTGTACACATAAAAACGAGTACTTTAGGTAACACTTGTAAATAAAAAAAAAAAAAAAAAAAAAAAAAATCAGAGAATGAATGCAGAGAATTTGAAACCGGGGTAATGGTACCACAAATAGTAACGCTGGAGGTAGAGACACGGGGGTTTGTCGAGCCGTGCATACAACCGAGTTTCCGTAAATGACCGAGTTACAAGGCCGGAAGTGGCGGTCGCATCAGTCTGTTTAATAGCCGTATTGTATAATTATGAACAATGGAGAGACCTCGAGAACGCCAGAGAACGGCATGAACGATGCTTATGAGTGGGGAGGATTGCCAGCAAGTGCGAATCCGAGTATTCACGTTCTATTCACATTGACTAGTATGCTACGAATGTGATACCAAGTGCAAGCTTGACCTGAAGAGCTCAGGTGGGAGGGAGAGAGATAGACCGAGATAAATAGTGCCGACGTATGCCTGCTACCATACGACATCATGTCCATTTGTCGTACATGACGAATGACACCTTGACGCTTTTCACATTACTATGGTTTAGTGCCACCCTTAGTTCAAGTTTACAACCCTATCTCTCTCATTCTCCTGGGGTTGTAACGATCCATGAATCCTTTATTAATAAGCAACTGATTCACTGTCATTGTTAACAAAAATTTATCCTTAATTGGCTGAATACTTAATTTAAAATATAATTAATTAGAGAATTATACAGAAGTGGGGCTCAACTTATTTTAGAAAAAGTTAAAATAAAATAAAAAATCGAAAATTTGATATTTTTTTTAATTGTTCTTCATGGCGGATTTATGATAAATAGCATGATAATTAAATATTTTAATGTTTTTTTTTTTTCATTTGAAAGTTCAAAAATTTTCAAATTATAATATTCTAAATTTTTTTTTCTTATTTATTTTATTTTTATCGTTGGAAAAGTCTTGACCTAGAGTTGTGCCTTTTCATGGTTTCATATCATTCTCACCAATAGTCAATTTATGATTATAAGTATTTAGAATGATCTATCTCTAGATACATAATTAATAAATTACCTTTTATCTTGTGAACTATTGACATTTTTAAAGATATAAGCTCA